TATGTCGGTGTAAGTGTGTCAGTGCCTGAGGAGGGATGTGTGCTTGCTTGCTTGTGTGTGTGCGTGAGAGTTCTATCTTCTTTAATTTAAACCTTTGGTGGCTGCTTTCTCCTCTTTAGTTTTGTCTAGTGGAAATAATCCCATACTAGTGTAACCCTGGGTTGTCTCCACTGAGAATATTTTTGGGGTAACAGACTGTGGTGCCACCACCTGCTCTGATAGCGCAGAACACTCGAATGTCAGCACTGATGCCCACGGCTGCAACAGCACTGTCATCACCGACCTGTTGGCACCAAAACCAACGCCACACCATTTCTTGCAGCATAAAGATCCTGCATCATCAACAGCAGAATCTCCCGTTTGGTGCTGCTGTATCTCTGGTATGCACAGTACTGCATCAACCCTCTTCACCTCTGGCTCCTCTGATTTTTAGTTACGAGAAAGACAATGAGGAGGAGGGTTTTTTCATAACACCTCTCCTCTTCCAGCCAAACGACTACACCCGTAGGCTCACCTGTTCGGTGAGCCTTCTAAATCTCATCACAGAATTGACACTCAGACCTGGTATGACACTCATGGATGCTACCACCTATCCCATTTCCCACACAGTAGTCTTATTGGGACCCCTGGGCAGTATACAGGAGAGAAGACCCCAGGCAGCAGGGTTTGTGTAGGGAGAGGATTTGATCTCCCACTACACCCTCAGTGGCTGTACCATGAGGAAAGCTTTGAGGAACAGGGGGATCATATCAGGATCAAAAAACAAAATCAGCAGCCAACATTTCCTTCTCTTCCCCAGATGAGGCTATAATGCCTCCACCACCCACAGCTGCTGACAACTTCAAACATTTCCAGCAACTCTTTAAAACACCCATAGATTTCCTAAAGATCCCTTGAGAGGAGGTCCCAGAGCCCCTACATAAATTACTGGATGTTCTACAAAACTTAGCATTGTCTAAAATAGTACTTCTAAAAAAAGCAGCACTAATGGAGCAAGCCAAAAACATATGGCAGACTCTGGCAACAATGCTGCCCACTTGCAAAGGTGCAGATAAAAAGTATTATGTCCCCTTTTAATTTTCTTACCCCACATCAAACATGATAATCAGTGATATGGTAGACAACACCAATTCGGATCTACCCCATATGTCGGAGAGTAGAAATGACTACATCTTTTTTGGCCGAAAAGCCTAGTCATTGTCTATTCTGCAATTCTGGATTGCCAACTATGCCACATTGATGGCTAAATATGAGAACACAAAATATTTGAAACTCACAGATTTTATTGATTACATCCCTGAAGACCAAAGGGGCCAATTCAAACCAATCAAATCCAAAGGCCATCTTCTGTGTCCAGTGGAGTATTAAGATTTATTGGAGCTTAGGCACAGACAACACGTTCCCCCCCCCCCGCCACACACACCCTGCACATGGGGCCCTCACCATTGTTCTTCCCCTCCCCATGGCTCTGCCTCCTGGCCTGGCCATAAGTCAGGCCATACTAAGAGTTGCTAGGAAGCCTGGGCTTCTGTAGGGAGTCCTGGACCCTCCACCTTGCCCTGGGAGGCAAGGACACTGCTGGGAGCTGTGTGGCCTAGGGCAGGTGGAAAGTCTAGGGTCCCCAGAGCCGCTTGGGATCCTTGGGCAGTGCTTACTGCAGTCTAATAGGACCGTATGTCCTGTTTTGTCTGGGACAATCCCTTTTTTAAGGCTTGCCTGCTTTTTTGGTGAAACTGGGCATTTGTCCATCATCAGTTGTCAAGAGCGGCAAGCAGAACAAATGGCCAGTTTGTCCAAAAATGGACTCAGGGTGAGGGCAGTTCTATATGTGGTTGGGTGAGATGGGATCCTTGGAAAGGTGTGTTTAGAGGAGGGGAAATCTTGGCTGCCTAAAAGGTCTATTCCAATAGGGAAGGAATGAAGATGAATGAGGGTGAGAGAAAATCCTAGCTAGCTAATATAGAATGTACTGGCTGGCTGGAAAAGTATTTTTAAAAAAGTACCTACGAAGAGAAAACCAGCTATTTATTGAAGGCAACAAAGGAACTGTATACAGCTGCTACATTTAATTTTACTGCCTTTATTGTTTTAAATGAGTTAGAACTACAATGAGTTTAACAAAGAAAAATGATGCAAAATACTTCAATGTTTACCTTAGATATGAGACATGTTCCTTTTAAAGTGGTTTGAAAAGCACATGTAGTCAGAGCAACTGGGCACAGGCTGTGGAGCCAGAAAAAATGTATCATCGTCCTCACTTGTGCTTTCCCTTTATCTCTGGCCGTACTCAGAATTTGTATCTCTGCTCTGACTGGCTAATCGAATCGGCTCCATCCTCGCATGTGTTTACTGCTTAACTCTGCATTGGCTGGGATGATTTAGTTGGGGTTGGTCCTGCTTTGAACAGGGGTTTGGACTCGATGGCTTCCCGAGGTCTCTTCCAACCCTGATCTTCTCTGATTCTTCTATGATTCTAAGGCAGAGCTACTCCCACACCACAGCTCCTTGTGGGTGTGTTAGGAAGACCTAGCTAGTCAAGCCACCACGGCTAACAGAGGAAGGGCACCGTGGACTGCTGCCACTTTCTTGTGGGCTGATTCACGAGCTACTGCCACAATACCCATCAGATGCAGAACTGGCCAGTGAGGACTCTCGAGGGCACCTCACAAGGCTGGGCACTGACTGGCTACAGGGAGGACACTTTGTCTCTAGCTCAGGGGTGGGCAATAATCTTTTATGAGGGGGCCACACCAAGATTTTGGTAAGTGGGCAAGGGCCGCACTTCTGTGGAGGAGGCACGGGGTGTAGAAGGGAGCTTGGGATAGAGGACTGGAGTGCAGGAAGGAGTGTGGAGTCTGAGGGGGAAGGTTATATCTGGGGCAGGGAATAGGGTGCAGGGTCCAGGAGGAAGTATGGGTGCAGGAGAGGATTCTAGCCTGGTAGAGGCTGGGAGGAAGTTGTGACCTGGGTGAAGGGGGTTTGGGTGATGATGTGGGACAGAGGAATGGGATGCAGGGTCAGGGAAGAGTTCTGGCCTGGGGGAGGGGTGCAGGGTCTGGGAGGGAATTGTGACCTGGAGGAGGTGGGGAGAGGGTACACAGAGGGTTTGGGTGGTGGCCTGGGGCAGGTAGTTGGGGTAAGAGGGAAGATGGGCTGCTAGAAGCAGGCTCTGGCTGGGAGTCGCTTACCTAGGCAGCTCCCACCCAGCAGCTCTGTAGATTCCCTGCCTTTGGGCTCCTTCACGTAGCTTGGCACAAGGACAGAGGGGGGAAGTGAGGAGGCTTCATTTGCTGCCCCTGCCTTCAGCAAAATTTCTCAGTTCCTATTGGCTAGAAATTGGCCAATGGGAGCTAGGGGATTTTGCTAGGTAGCAGGGGCAGCGCATGAAGCTTTCTCCTCCCTTCCCAGCTCTCAGAGTAATTAGTAGCCTGCTTTTTAAAGTGGCTGCCCCTGCTCTTTATTAAGGGTGCTGGCAAAGCAGCCGCAGGCTGGATCTGGCCTGCTAGCTGCCTCTTGCCCACCCCTGCTCTAGCTGGTTCAGAATGATGGTCTCAAGTGGATTAGGTCCTGGAAGAATAAGCGAGTTTACTCTTCCATCTGGAATGAAACCAAGCACTTTGAGCATAGTGACAGCTCCAGTGAGTGGATTCTGGGTGAAGAAGAAGAGAGAGTTTGATGAGCAAGTCTTTAGTTTCCTTCTTACTGAAGGCTGAGATCACCATGAGCATGAGGCCAGAGACGAGCCCAGAGAAAACTCTGGGTGCTGATGAGAAGCCACATGGAAGAACTACATGCTGAAAATGGTCCTGACCCAGAATGAAGCAGCAGAACCTCTGAAAACTGGATCGAAGGCCACAGCGAGCTATTGAGCAAATGGAGCTTTTTGCTCTTGAATGCTTATCAGAGTTCTGAGAGCCGAGCCATGGAGAGGGTCACTTCGACCAGGGCAGCTTTAATAGAAGGGCCAAAGACCGGTTTTGCCACCATTTTTGGTTTTCTTGCTTTGAGGAACTGTTCCATGCACTTCTTCACCCATGCTCAGAGTCAAGGTGGCATCTTCCATTATAACAATGCTCTTTCTGGTGAGCCTGAATGCAAAAATGGTATTGCAAATATGGGAGCAGGGGTGCGTGTCCTACTGTGGCTTATATAGCCGAGAGTAAGGGAGGTGAAGAGATCTCCTACACTCAAGGAAAAAGCCACTTCATATCCTTTATCAGCAGAGAATCCAGGGATGGAAAGGCAAGTTCTTCCCATACCCAGCTCCAGTCCTTGTGCATTCTCTTTTAGTGCTCGTACTTTGTATCTTTGCCCTGTCTGGCTAATCTAATCTGCTCCATCCACTCCTTTTACCACCTATATACCCTCACTGCTGGTTCACTCTGCAATGGCAGAACATGCAGCAGCATTTTCTGAAAGCAGAGAGTATGTCATAGCCACAGATCTTCCAGTTCCTGTATCCCTGGAAGGTACACATGGACCTTCACACAATGAACCTGTGGCACTCCCATATCTGTTGCCTGGTGGGCACCATGATCTCCATAGACACCTCATCCTTACGGCATAGGAAGGGCTCAGGTGAGTATCCTATGGACTCCACATAGTCACAGTACCAGAAAGACTATGATCCTAAACCTGCAGCCCAATAGCACAAAAGGCATGATGGACTCTAGCCTGAAGGCCTACCATATCTGTGGTATGGCAAGGTCTATGTCCAGTAAGTTTCTATGCTATGGTATAAATGCTATAATGTTTTAGTCCAGTGTTCTCGTGGCCTGGGAGACATGACAGGTATGATAGCTGAAGGCTAAAATGACAGAGCAGGAAAGGAGTTAACATTTAAATGACCATTTTGTTTATGAATTAATGTAGGTAGTTTTGAGCCAAAATATCTACCATTAATTTTTCCATCTATTCCAGGAGCAGAAAGATACACACAGTAAAGTTTATTTTGGTTCTTGGTATACTTCACTCCCATTAAAAATAAATTAATCAGCAAATTCCTACACAGCTAAGCTTTCTTTAATGTAAATACAACACAGCTGTAATGAATTACAAGGTGTTATTATCTCACACATACTGCATAATACTTCATACAGAAGAGGGTTCTCTCCTTAGCTCAGCTTGCAACAAAAGCATCTTAAATAAACTGAGAGAAAGTTGTTTGGTTTGTAATGTTTTTACAGAAGTGGGATATACCTCACACATATAAGGTTTCTTTATATGACTCATAACATCTTAAACGGAGGAAGTTTGCTTTTTGAAAAACCTAACAAAATTACTTTTCTACACATGCTCACACAGAGAAAAATGTACTAGTAGTTGTTCCTCAAACGAAGGCTAAGAAGCACTTGCCTGTGTTTCGGAGATCATATTCTCATCTCTCTTGGCACTGACAGGAAAGGTGATGACTAACACGGATGCAAATGGCCTAGGAAAGGTGGCATTAAGAGCAGGCAGCTACAGAAGACATCACACTTACACCAGAAATAAGAACATTTGATGTGTGTTAGTGTAATCAGACATTAAAGATGACTTGACTATATCCTGACATGACAGAGCACCAATTTCAGCAAATACATTTTTCACAGTACACAAAACAAGTACAGTTTTATTACTTGATCAAATGGTTTCCTATGAACATTTTGGACACAATAAACCCAGTTTCAGACATTAAACTATAGAAACCCAATATTGACTTCCAGCTTGTGCAATAAAGCCCTTATTTCTTTTTATTTGGTACAGGTTTTCATTCCACAATCTTGTTCAGGTAACTGTCACCTGTTTAATTAGAAAAGGTCTTGAACCTCTTCTTTGTGGGTGGAGCATACTTTTATTCCACAGAAAACATGAATAGACCATTGAGATGTACTCTACTGCAGCAACCACTAGAGCATACCTCTAGAAGTATATGGGCATATCAGGAATATACGGCTATTTTGATACAATAAAGACTCTAAAGTGGCTGTTAGTCAAAATCCTACCATGGCCCTGTCCCCTGCCTCTCTAGGTGACTAGTACCCAAGGAGGTTAACAAGGTCTGTAGATATGCCAGGTCCTGGCTCCAGCTCCTTGCACTTACCTCTTCTTGTGCAGCTGTGTAAGGGGCCAATCACCGACTGACCCTAAAAGGGGCTTTAATTGAAAACCATTTCAAGATCTTCTCAGGCAATTCCCAACCATTTTAATTCAAAAATTGACACTGTCCCTCCAAACCAGGATAGCTGTATTTCAACATCAAGAACAAACAGAACTCAGCCTTGTGCTTGGCAGCTCTTCATGGTGCAGAGTCACATCACTGTATCTGTGTGAAGCACTCCCCTCTTGCCAAGGCGTGGAGAGCCCTGTTCATGAGTTGCCTATCACTTTTGGTAAGATATTTGGTTTTCAAAAGATTAACACTGTCTCTCAGGACCTATCTGCAGAGCCAGCTTTACACTTCTCCAACAGCCAGGCATCCCTCAAATGAACTAGCAATATTTAATCCTAGGTTGAATATTCAAAAGAGTTTTGCTGTCATGTTTACAAACATGTAAATACATACACAAAGGCTATTTATTTAAATATATTCTTTCAAAAACAAATATTTATTCCTTCCCTTCTTGGGTACCTCACAGAATGAGAGAACCTCTCTTTTAGGTACAAGCTGATTTAACATATTGTTCACTGACTGATAAAGATCTCAGAGTCCCTCATCATTATAGGCTGGGGAAGTTGGCTTCAGGATGCTTTGGGCATTACGCTCCACAAGAGGGCGCCAAGTCACTTCTCCAGTCAGTAGCAGGTCCTCTCCATTCATAGCATCCAGGTATTGCATCTGAAACGCACAAGGAAATAACTTATCTCTGACTTGAACTCACTAAAGATGGTCTCAAGACTTCTCTTGATAATTCCAAACTCATCAAGAGTTCACGCAAGCAGCATGTTTTCAAGCAAGGAAGTAGAAGCATGGGATTCCTTTGAGTCTTTTAGTATTGAGCGGAAGAAGACTAGAAGGAAGGGGCAACTGGCTGAAAGTTCTTCAAAAGGGGGCTAGCAGACAGGGAGCTACAGGAGGACTGTCTACACAAGGTTTTCTAAAATAAACTGGTTTCTGAAAATCCTGACAGAGAGGCAAACAAGAGAGCAGGGTGCTGAGGAAGCTTTGACCTGCAACCAGTATATTGGATCAGACCCTCATGCTTAGAAGAATGGAGGGGATATTCGGTTCACTGGTGGCTGAGAGTGTCCTGGTGACTGATATAAATCAATAAGTGAAACGATTCATTTAGACCTTTACAAAACAACCTCTCTCCCAAGTACTAGGTGCTGCCGCCATGCTATGCTTGGTATCAGAGCTGAAGGGCCGGAAGACCTGCACACATAGCTGGATAAAGCTCCTGTCCCAAAAGGGTGACATGAAAGCACAAGACAAGGTATGGGTGAGAGGGAGGAAGGACTGCCTCTGCTTCACAGTGTCTTGCTCAAGATCACACAGGCAGTCTGTGACAGAACCAGGAACTAAACCCAGGCCTCATGAATTCTAGGCTATATCACAAGAGCAAACTTTGGTCAAGCTAAAAGATCCTCTATGACTCATCCCCCTCAACCCAAAAAGAGCCAATCAGTGATAACCACAAATCAGTTCTCACCTGGCCCTGCCAAAAGCTGGCTTTACCATCAGACTGGGTAAAAAGATGGAATTGCAGCAGCATGCCCTAAAGGTCATCACATTTGGGCCATTTGGATCAAGGAAGAGGAAGAAGGGGGAGTAAATTCTGAACTTAAGGGCCCCTCATAAAGAAAGTCCTGTCTGCAGCTCACTCTTGTCTACCAAGGAGGCTCCAACTGAATTACTTTGCCTGCCTACACGCTGTGGATATACAGCATAGAGAGGGAGTTGCCCTTTCAGTAGGCATGTCTCTGGCTATTTAGAGCTTCTGGTGTAAAACCCCCATCTTACTCTGCACCCAGAAGTCAATGCAGATCTAGGAGCATTGGCGTCATGTTTTCCTGGCGACAGACACTACTTGCTAAGCCATGCAGGCTGTTTCATCTTTAATTTCCACACTAATTTAAAGTGAGGACAATGCAGGGCATATTGCCATCTTGAGGTGACAAAGAAATGGATTAACATAACTCAGTTCACATTCAAAAGAAACAGTCACAGTCTCCTGGCCTGACACAAACTGAGAAAAACTGCTTGGTTACTGCAGCTCTATGGCCATCTCACAGCATCTGGCAATCCAGTAACACACATTTCAGTAACACATGGCAGACATGTCTGATGCTGATTAGGGGTGTACTCCTTACCACATTGCAAAGATTATAAAATCAGAAAGGACCATTTTGATAATCTAGTCTGACTTTCTCTATATCACAGGTCAGAGATTTTTCTTGAATTAATTCCTGTGTGAATTAGAGCATATATGACAAACATCAGTGACGGTGATTAGTACAAGAACTGTAAAGTGGGTAAGGAACTAACAAGCAGCAAAGGTCCCTTTGGTGAGGGACCTTGTCAAAGGCTTTCCGGAAATCTAAGTAGACTACAGGCAGTCCCCGGGTTACGTACAAGATAGGGACTGTAGGTTTGTTCTTAAGTTGAATCTGTATGTAAGTCGGAACTGGCGTCCAGATTCAGCCGCTGCTGAAACTGATCAGCTTCAACAGTGGCTGAATCTGGGCGCCAGTTCTGACTTACATACAAATTCAACTTAAGAACCCCAGGCATCCCCAAGTCAGCTGCTGCTGAAACTGATCAGCGGCTGATTCCAGGAAGCCCGGGGCAGATCAACTCTGCCTCGGGCTTCCTGTAGTCAGCCGCTGGTCAGTTTCAGCCGCGGGTGGAACTGGGCGCCCAGTTCGGGGACGCCTGGGGCAGAGCAGCTGGGGTGCTGCCGGGTTGGTCCCGTAGCGCCACCCCTCGGTCTCCAGCAGCAGCCAGGCATCCCCAAGAGCAGCTGGGGGGCTGCCGGGTTAGTCCGGTAGCGCCCAGAGCAGCGCTACGGGACCAACTGGCAGCGCCCCAGCTGCTGTACCACAGGCGTCTGGATCAAAGCCGCGGAGCATGGGGGCAGCGGGACAGCCCAGATGCGCCATGGCTGTCCTGCTGCCCTCGGGCTCCGCGGCTTTGCTCTGCTTTGCTTTGCTTTGATCCCATTTTGCATGCCCCTTTTGTGAGCTTCAAATTATTGACTATTCTGACTTCTTCACTAGCCTATCCATCCTTAGGCCGTCTGTTTTCCTTTTATTCGGTCCGCTCCATGGTTTCTGTCTATGTCCAACATCTCACTAGACACCTTCTCTCTCATGCTCCACTGAGCATGTCAAGAGAAAGTCCAGTTTCTCTGCAGAAGGAGGGCTCCTTCATTTCAGGTTTCTGCCTGCTGTGCTTTCTGTCCTTATGGTTCTCCCTGCTACTAGTGAGAAAAATCTCTCAGCCTACAATCCAACCAATGTGTGGAAACCTGTATTTTGGTGTGCTACACTATAATTAACAGATTATCATGTCTTAAGTAAAAACCATGTTTTCTCATTATGAGCAGTTGTATGTATAATAAAGCCTATACTGTATTTCTGATTTATTGTAAAACGGGTAAAAAAATGTGACAACCTAGTAAGAAATATAAAAGGGATTGTTTTGATTTTGTATTATTCTTTCAGTCTCATTTTTATCAAACCATCATGAACTAAAATACCAGTTGAGTTTATACCCTAAATTCCATTATTTTGCACTTCTCTAGGTATTTTAGAAACGAAAAATATAAAATTCCTGCCAACTGAAAAACACTACCTCAACTACAAAGTTGTGAGCAGCTCCAGCATAAGAAAGCAAATCTTCTAGGCACAGACTGAAGGCACCCAGATCTAGTAGAGGGAAAATGGAACAGGATTTTATAAAACTCCTGGACAACCTCAGGTTTGTAGTCACTGCTGTGCAGTGCTGTTGGGTAAACAAGCTACCCAAAGTTTGACTTTCCTAAGAAGCATCAAGAGAGACTATGCTCTGAGCCGCTGCTCACCTGCTTGCGCACATACTCCACTAGCAATTCCAGTTGTCTGGGGTCCTCACAGCACTTGCTGAAAAGGTTCCTCCAAAGGGCTGCTGCCAGTACATGGTCATCAGACAAGATTCCCTAAAATAATAAGTGAGAGAAGGTTTGAGTACTGTAAACACCAAGCAGAAACCTTGGGTGAGATTTAGCTACCTGATGTCTGACTAGGTAAGTCTCAGTTTATTACACATCTCTTACAGCTGCCTCCTCAGGGAGTTGCCATCTCTTTTTCATATCTGTACTCAGGGCATTGAGACCAACACAGCTACAACACCACTGTAATATACACCACACATGCTTCAAAGGAACAGATACATGTAAGATACCAAATGGCTACTGAAAATTTTGCAGTACAGGCAGTCCCCGACTTACGCGGATCCGACTTATGTCGGATCCGCAGTTACGAACAGGGCTGCCCCAGAGTACACGGACTGCGGGACCTCGCGGTCCTGCTGCCCGTGTACTCCGGGGCTTTCTCCGCGTCTCCCTGGTCTGCAGACCAGGAAGACGCGGAGCAAAGCCTCGGTGAAGCCGGC